GAAAACCTCTCTATTCTTTCACCAAGTTGTTTTGATTCTGAAGCAGCAAAAACATAGCAGCAGAAATACTGCTGCACTGTGGAAACCTCAGCTAATGACTATAACTTTCAACAGGCAGCCTCTTAGTATCTGAAATATGCCCCTAAAACAAGATCTTTAAATATTAGCTATTATAATGTTGCTTTTCTGGATTAGGCATTTACCCACTTCATACAATTTTAAAATTATGCCCCACATCTTTCTGAAGGAGAGACCAATAATGCACTCCAGAGCCCACAGTCTCAGCCACAGTCTGGTGCCAGTTAAATTCACTTGCTGTCCTGCTGGGAGCAGCCAGAGAAGGTCTAAATAGCTCACCTGACCGTAACTCCAGCTTCTTAATTTTATGTCGTTGATGTTTCCATGGAAAACAATGCCAACATCATTCAGGACGTATTCTTCCCTTTCTTTCTCATCATCCAGATACACGGCATCCTCTGCATCAGTTTACCGAAAATAAATGTTAACACAGTCACTTAAGTTTTCATATAGGACAGATAAAAAATCTTGGCATATAATACAGTCATCTTTGATGAAAAGTGCCCCTCTTCCATCAAACAAAGCATTACTCGCTTCAACAGAGTACAAGAATAAGGAGGTAGTGACCTCAGTTAAGAATATGATACCTTACTCAAAAGCATGCAAGATGCAAAAATGCTGACAACTCCTACCTGTTTTTTCAGGATCTGTAAAGTATGATTAAAATGTCACATCTTATCAAGAATTTTATGATTACTGTGTACCACTAATTTAAAAGTTGGAGCACCATGACGCAATTCTGCATCCGCACAAACAGATCAAAGAACAATTTCAAACCTATTAATGTTAATGGAAAACAGCTCAAGTCAAGAGAACTAAAGAAAAATCTGTAGTGCATTAAAAAAATTGGAATACAGTTTTTATAGTGTATTAACGAAGAGTTTGATTGCTTTTTCTGTATGTAAGTTATTGACTGGAGTGTCCCTCCCCCATGTAGCTTGACTGACCAGCTAATATGAAAGAAATTCCAGTGCCTGAATGAAAACTGGGAGTAACTGGAAGAGACCTTTATCAAAACATAGACAAAGGATATATCCTAGACTGGTCGTATATAAAGAGTCAAGAGCATATGTGTGGACCCTCACCCTGCAAACATGATTCACATACATAAATAACCCATTATTAGCATTCATAAATAACCCCGAATGACATGAAACTCTTCAGGCGTTCACAGGTAAGTGTGAAGCAGGTCGTGACTCTGGGACGCTAGAATAGCTAAGGATTTCTTTCCTGTACCAATGCTTGTATTTTCAGACTACGAGATAAAGCTTAACAACTAATAGTGTGGGAATTAATTTGAGGAAATTGGTAGTGCAGTACCAGAGAGCAAATTAAAGGGAAGCAGTAACCTCTCATAGTTTGATACAGGTGAGTACAAAACTACCACCCACTACTGCCATGGTGGATTTCTTCAGCATTCCACTACAAATTACTAGAGGATCATTTCACTTTTAGAAGCCTATCGATTTGTTGTATTTTGCTGAAATGCAAGCCAGATTTGTACTTCCTTGTAACCCTCATCCTCAAAAGCTTCTTCATTTGCCCATAATACTGCAATTTGGCTGAAAATAAGCTAAAATCCGAGCCCTCTAAAAAAATCAATGGCAAAATTCACACTGGCTTCAGCTAGGTGAAGGGTTTTGCCAGTCAACACACCTGAACCTGCTGGAAGTTGTGTTTTCTTGGAGCATATATTTATACTGTATATACATTGTGTTCAGTTTTGGACCCCTCACTACAAGAAGGACACTGAGGCACTGGAGCATATCCAGAGAAGGGCAGCAAAGCTGGTGAGGGGTCTGGAGCACAAGGCTGGTGGGGAGCGGCTGAGGGAACTGGGGTTGTTCAGCCTGGAGAAGAGGAGGCTGAGGGGAGACCTTATCGACCTCTATGACTGTCTGACAGGAGGCTGTAGCGAGGTGGGAGTCAGCCTCTTCTCCCAAGTAACAAGTGATAGGACGAGGGGAAATGATCTGAACTTGCACCAGGGCAGGTTTAGGCTAGACATCAGAAAAAACTTCTTCACAGAAAGGGTTGTCAGGCTCTGGAATGGGCTGCCCAGGGAGGTGGTCAAGTCCCCAACCCTGGGGGTATTTAAAAGACAGGGAGACGAGGTGCTTAGGGACATGGTTTAGTGGTGGGATGGCAGGGTTAGGTTAATGGTTGGACTTGATGATCTTAAAGGTCTTTTCCAACCTAAATGATTCTATGATTCCATATATACAGAAGGGATTATGCATAGGTAGGTAACATAATGACCTCCGCATCGGTGTGCAAGGAATGACAGGGAAGTAGGTATTAGATGTAAGAAGGCTTCATTGCATTTGAGGAGATCAGTGCTTGCCAGGGTTGCTGTAGAGGCTCTGCAGACTACGTCTGAATCCAAGCAAGTGGAGAAGTGGCAGGTTTTATCGAGTTTTCCCTAACGCGGGCAGGTCTGAGACCTGCTCTTGCATTTGGTGGGGTGGTGGTTATTCACCCAGCTTCTAAGGGCTGGGTTGTCAAGAAGTTTCTTTATAAGGTTGTCATTACCCCTGACGCTAGTCAACCTGCACCCAGGCACAAAGCAGAAGATCATGGGTTTATTATATTCAGATGCTACCAGGTGAAAGAAAGTGTTAAAACTTGACAGCGAATCAAAAAGCTGTAGTCATTTATGCCACCAGGGACTCTCATACTTATGAAATTGTGTATTACATGACTTTTCTGAGGTCCAACACCCAGCTGTAAATAAGTTCTGCATAACATCCCACCAAAAATATTTCAGATGTTACATCTAGGCTGTTTCATTGGGCTAGATCTGCCTGATTTGCTGATCGAACAGCTCTGGATTTTATTAAAACACTTCCATACAAATGGTGCAGAGAACACCTTTAAAGAAGAACTCACACCTTCTTCTGTCCAGTTATGCATTCGGTGGAGCGTGTGCTTATGCCTTTCTGACAGCTGTTGTTTTCTTTCAGGGATTAAAAATATCAATATTGATCTGGTTGATATCAATTGAGATGCTTATGTTATTTTGAGACCGCGTGATCTTTGCTAAATCAGATGAAAATTGATTAACTTCTCTGTCAATTATTTTAAAATATTTGTGGTTTTTGATAAAGTAAAAGGGCTTCTGTGTTTCACAGAGAAGCCAGCTGCTTTGATTTTTGACAGCTTCCACTACCCTTGAGACTGTTTAGAAGAAAATACGAGGCATTTGTGACTACTTTGATGCTAAGCATGCTCTACATAGTACAACTCCTAATTATTTTGTGCAAGTGGAGGCTCACATCTGACAAACAGAAGAATTCCATGGAAATGTGCTGGGTTTGTTTGCTCTTTTCCTCTAGCAGTTCAGGGTTGTTTTTTTTTTTCTTTTAACTCGCTTCTTTTATCCTGGGAAATTACTAAGACACTAGCAATGCTACAAAGAAGCAAATTAGCCTCTATGCTTCTCTCTTTGAAGACGGATAAGGTGAAAATGCACTTCACATGAAGACAGTACTGTGGGAGAGGAATCCCACTGAACACAGCCTCCCTGTAAGAGAGATGAGGAGCGCAGAGAAGCTCTTTTCCTTTGGGAAGGTGAATGGGCACGGGAAGACACTACCCAGGATGAGGGGACCTCCTTCCCCAGCACAGCAACTGGCTGGGGTGGGAAATGCTATTTCTTCATGCAGACAGTGACCGCTGAGCCCAGCAGCACCAGCAGCTGGGTGGAGGTGGAGGCAGCAGCTTGCCCTGAGCACCCAGCCTCCCTTCAATGTGCTCCCATGGGAACTCAGGAGTGCAAGGTTGGGCTTTGCTGCAACCAGAAAGCTCTTCCTGGAAAGAGGAGAGTGCTGTGGCAAAAAAAAAAAAAAAAAAAGGAGCTACAAGAGCTAAGTACAGGTATCTACAAAACGCACTCCACCCAGGACCAAGATCAGCATGCTGCCCTACAACTGCTAGTGCTTGCCTACATTAATGCATCAGAAAGATGAAGCTCTGTGTGAATTTTACCCATGTGGAATCTATGATGCAGGAGATCAAGTTTAAGACAGAATCAAAGAATCATTAAGGTTGGAAAAGACCTCCAAGATCATCAGGTCCAACCATCAACCCAGCATGACCATGCCTACTAAGCCATGTCCTGAAATGCTATGTCTACACGCTTTTTGAACACTTCCAGGGTTGGGGACTTGACCACCTCCCTCGGCAGCCCATTCCAGAGCCTGACAACCCTTTCTGTGAAGAAATTTTTTCTAATGTCTAGCCTAAACCTGCCCTAGTGCAAGTTCAGATCATTTCCCCTCGTCCTATCACTTGTTACTTGGGAGAAGAGGCCGACTCCCACCTCGCTACAGCCTCCTGTCAGGCAGTTGTAGAGAGAGATAAGGTCTCCCCTCAGCCTCCTCTTCTCCAGGCTGAACAACCCCAGTTCCCTCAGCCGCTCCCCACCAGCCTTGTGCTCCAGATCCCTCACCAGCTTTGTTGCTCTCCTCTGGACATCTTCCAGCAAGGCAACGTCTTTCTTGCAGTGAGGGGCCCAACACTGAACACAGTATTTGGAGCGCAGCCTCACCAGTGCCCAGTACAGGGGCACGATCACTTCCCTACTCCTGCTGGCCACACTATTCCTGATACAAGCCAGAATGCCATTGGCCTTCTTGGATTGTTGTGACTGTTGTGACCAAAGTGCAGGACCCAGCACTTGGCCATCTTGAACCTCGTTCAATTGACCTTGGCCCATTGATCCAGCCTGTCCAGATCCCTCTGCAGACTTTTCCTACCCTCCAGCAGATTGACACTCCCCTGCACTGTGGTGCCATCTGCAAACTTACAAAGGGTGCACTCAATCCCCTCATCCAGGTCACTAATGAAGATATTAAACAAGACTGGCCCCAGACTGAGCCCTGGGGAACACCACCTGTGACCGGCCACCAACTGGATCTAACTCTGTTCACAACAACTCTCTGGGCTCCAGCTAGTTTTTTACCCAGCAAAGAGTACACCTGTCTAAGCCATGAGACACCGGCTTCTCTAGGAGAATGCTGTGGGAGACCGTGTCAAAGGCTTTACTAAAGTCCAGGCAGACAACACCCACAGCCTTTCCCTCATCCACTAAGGCAGGACACCTTCTCATAGAAGATCAGGTTGGTCAAGCAGGACTTGCCTTTCATGAACCCATACTGGCTGGGCCCGATCCCCTGGTTGTCCTGCAAAGACAAGATCTAGCTACAAACACCAGAAAATGTTATTGGGCCAAATCTGAATCACTGATAACACATAAGAGGAGTCCAAAATCAACCACATGTTACTAATCCTCAAACTGTATTAGGACACTTGAAACACATAAGCAGAAGAAATGTGCAATTGACTCAATGAAGTCGCAATATATTTGCACTTTGCAGAAGGCTTGGCTGAATGAAGCACACACCCTCAGCCCATGGAGTCTGCAACCTATTCACATACACTACACATCTCCACCTGTGAGGGATCCATGCAAGTCAGTGTGAAGTCTTTTCCTGATAAGCCCTGAATGTTCCTCAGCAGTAAGTTGCTGGGGCTCAACACCTCCTTGGAAAGAGCTCACAGTATTCAGATCAAGAGAGTCCTCTGCTTTCACATAGTCTGATACTGTTAAGAGTTAAGTTAAACTCCAAGAAGTTATCCTTAACTACTTGCCATTTGTATCATCTGTTTCAGAACTGAAGAGGACTCTGCATGCCCAAAAGCACATCTGTTTTTCCCAGCTATGTCAGCTGGCTGAAGAAAGGATGCTGCCTCTCCTCGAAGGCTTTACCTTGCTTATTAAGTAATGCAAATTTCACCTGAGTATCTGAAATCTCAATCCACTAGCTTGCTGAGTTCCCAGATGTTTGGGGATGATGTATATAATTTGGCAGGATCAGGCCCTGCATCTGCATCTACAAACTATTCTTGATCAGCCTTAAATGCAGCTACAGAGAATAAAACATATAAAAGCATCTGATAATTTTGGAAGCAAAGTACTCTGTAGCCTGACTGGTAAAGTATTCAAACTTGTTCTGAAACAGCAGAAAAAACCTCGCATCCCTGGTGGGGAAGATGTCAAAGCTGAACTACAGTGAGAAAAAAAAGAGTAATAAGAAAGGGCACAAATGCCTCTGTCTTAAAGAGAAGCTCATACCCGACACATTGATGTTTCTCCAAAATGATGAGCTGGAAAGCTGTGCTAGACACTGACAGAGCCCGTACTCTGCTCCCCGCTATAACAATCCCCATTCATTCCTGGCATCAGCCCTCTCTCTTTCTAATGAGGCTTTTCACTCAGACTTTTCTGCTTAGCTATTAACCCAGAAAACAAGACCAGGAGATTTTCAAACTATTGTTTTCTCTGCAGTTTAACTGCCTGAGTTTTTATACCCTTTTGTCATTCCGCTGAACAATCTTTTCCAGCCAGGGGATAAAGCGTGGAGAAACAGTCCCTGGTTTTCTAACACAAGGAAAGGGGGAAAAGGCACATATAGGAGCCAATTAGTCCAAACTACCTAGGAGTAAAAGTAGGAGTAAAAAAGAAATGAAAATAAATCCAAATCCAAGTTCAAATGAAACACGCAGAAAACAAAAACTACAATAGTGAGCAAGGGACAGAACCGCAAGTCATTGAGACACACCTGAACATGTAAGCTGGAGATGAAAATGTGGCCCTCCAGAGGTGACCCTGAGTTGCTTCCCCTGACCCTGAGGGCATGCAGCACACCTTTGCTGCCCGGACACTCTCTTCTGCTTTCCTGAAGCAGAGCTTTTCCATCGGCTTGGCCGATGTGTTGCTGTATGTCTTGCTCCCTACTCCTATGGGTTTGCTCCCACACTGTGGTTTTAATCTCACTGGCTTTTAGCCCCATTCAACTCAGGTGGGAGGGAGGGAGGACATAGGAGAGCAAAGTGCCCGTGTGCCATGGACAGATGTGGACCAGTCAGCACACAGAGCTGGTGGGGAAGGAGGTGAGAAGAAGGGATTAATTTTCCCCTTCCACTCCCTGACCAGCACCTTGAATCAGCCTGTGTGGTCCCAGTCACACCACAGTGGGCCAGCCAAACCCCCCACATCATATTTTTTTCTCCACACTACAGCTGTATGCAGCTCTAGCCGGTTGCATGCTAGTCATGAGCCAACCTGAGGTAGTTCAAAAAGCTTTGTCTTTGGAGTTTATCACTTCCAGGAGTTGCTGAGCCACTACATAGCCTCCACCTTGGCTAACAAACTGGCTGTTATGACACTCATGACTAAAGCCAAGGGATGCTCTACCTTGGGGTGGAGAATTGCACCTCCCCAGCTGGAGCTGTGACAGGCTGATGATGCCTTCACAAACCTTGAGCAGTTTTGTCTGCTCACAGTGGGCCATAACTTTGGCAGTGATTCCTCTCTTTCTGTTAAACACTCTCCCTCCTCTCTCAGAATAAACTCTTAGAATGCTGCTAAGAGGTATCTAGTTCTATGCTGCTTTCAGAAATATCTCACAGTGTCACAGGACCTTGGGCCCTGCCCTTCCCTCCTGTTCCCGCTTAACTAACTCCACTTTACTCAGCATTAATATATATCTTCCTAAATAATGCATAAGCTAATCATTGCTTATATTCCCTTGGACCAGGGGCAAGTAATGAATTCAGCACAAATCATTCGATGTACTGACAGTAGTGCAGCTGAATAATGGGCTCTATTAATAACGCTAAACTTCCTCGTCACTTGGTAGGATGGGCCTTGTTTGGTATGGGATTATTTGATGTAAATACTCTGGTAAAAACATTGAAAGATGAAGGAAGGGTGACAGGAGAATATTAAAGTTAGCTGGTGACCTAAATATATAGCAATATGTATGCCAGACTTGGAGTCTTACAGGTGTCGGAAGCTGAGACACAGTGCTACAGCCTGTCAGAAGGCTGAGCCAAACCTCTCCAGTCCTCCTTGCCCTCTTCTTAAAGCCACACTTGGAGTTCATTGGGTAAAATACAATTCTGTCAGCGTAGGTACTGATTTTACCCAGGATCCAGGGAGATTAAAAAAAAATAATTGTTCTTCAACCTGCTGGGTTACAAAAAAAGGCTCATGTGCAAAATGTTCTGTTCCTCACAGGGGAGAGGGTTGCTAGTAATTAGTCACCACTAAATGGGAAGTTCTAAGGGCAAATGTCGTGTAGCAGCAGGAAAGCACCACCAGGGAAGCTGCAGCAGGTTGGCTGCATCCAACCTGTGCAGGAGCAGCAGCTCCCATTGAATCCCTGCAGGCTTTCAGCTGCAGATGTTTTATCCCAAACGTGGCAATCAGCGATGTAACTCAACAGAGTATGGGGCACTGCCACATCCTGCCCCACACCAAATCCTGGAAAAAACTGCGCCTGTATTGACTTGTCAGTTTAAGGCACCGACAAGCAGGCAGGAGGCACATGCTGATGACTGCTGAAGTCAGAGCAGAGTCTTGGGGTATATTTACTATGAGAAATGGGGCATCATTGTGCTGCTCGAGCTGGTAAACACACAGGCTTGGCATCATGAAACGGCAGGGTGCAGCTACAGCACAGGCACAGGTCTGCAGCGTGGACCCCTGCTCACACAGGGTTTATTCTCCAGCCTGAAAGATTTGTCTCTTGGCAGAGTTACTGTATAATTTCCAGACCGCAGCTGTCTTGTCTCCAACCACCTCGGTACCAAGCTCCCTTTCCTGGACCACCCCCTCCCAAAACCAGATGAGCCCAGCAACAGAAAGTGTGAACCTTTGTCTCCCATAAGGTACTTACGCTGGCACCAGGGATTGAACAGGATGTAAGTGTCAGTTGTTGAGTTTCTGTGTGTCCGGAGGATGCCAAAGGGAGTCCAGACAGCAACATACAGGCGAAACTTCCCAATGATGCAGGTGGCAGAGGACATGATGGACAGGCGAACAGAGTTGTTCTCCTTGTGGATAATCTTGGCTCCCCACTCACCGGGTTTCAGCACATCACCTACTAGGATCGGGATGTAGGTGCCTTTGTTTTGCTGTGGGTAGCGACCTGGATAGAGAGAGGGGGGGATAACTTCATTAAGAGGTTCACCCTGTTTTAACAGTCTCTTCATTTCCTGGCAGTCCTCTATCCCTTTGTCTATTTTCAATGGAGGTGGCAAGTTTTAGTTGGCAGAAACCACCTACCACCCTCAGAGCTTCACAGAGTTCCCGGCCACTTGGCAGTACAGCCAGACGAATACGTGTGACACCTCCCAGTGGGCAGCCTGTGCAGACTCCTCCACCCATCTCACTCCAGCAAGCCTCAGCCTCGCTGGCTCAGGCACTGCCAGGAGCATAGCCCTGGCAGCATGAGCAGGGGCTGTCCCAGGCTTTCCTTGCTCACCACTCTTTATCCTAGTGTAGCAAGCAGCACTCCAGCTTAATCCTTGCCTTGGTGTCAGCTATGCTGTTGGTAAGTTTAGGTAAGAGTCCCTTCCCCAGTTCAGATGAACCCACCACCCTCGTCACTAGCATACAAGTGCCCACTGGGCCGCAGACATTGGCTTTGGGGCTCTTTAGCGGAGCAGAACCTCATTCTCACTGCACTACTGTGCTGATAAGCAGAGACCAAGCACTCTCTCATGCAGTTCCAAACAGATGGAAGAAATACAGGTCAGTCCACCAGCAGACACCCAGTGCTCAGTTCCTCCTGAACATCCACTCCTCATGGACAGAGTGGGAACCAACTCTGGACACCCAGAGTATAAATGAGCAAATCTGGGCTGGACAGCCAAACTTTCTCTGCAAGCAATGGGTCCCAAAGTATGACACACCTCCAAAGTACTGCACGTAATAGTCTACCTCATAGTAAGACAAATCACAGCCCAGAGAAGCCTGTTTTACCCTGCCAACTACCAAAAGCATCTAAACGGATAGGCTACATGTAAATATATACACTGCTAGGATTCAAAGTTGTGTGAGGATCCACCCTTCGAGTCTGAGGTAGAGCCAAACTGTATCTGGAAGCCAACCAGCAGTGTAGACAGAAAAGACACTTGTGAGAAGACTCAGTTCCTTATCTCATTCTCAAATCTATTCTTCCTCTTATATTTTAGGCTGAAATTCAGACTCTCTAATTCCAAAATAGGGTAATGAAAAGCAATGATGGCAGACAGAGAGACAGACTTCTATATTTTCCATTCCTACTGTTTAAGAACTTCAAAATTAAACTCACAAGGGCGTTGATTTTCCTGCTTGCTTATTTTTATACAGCTGATGTAGAGATAATCCCAGATCTGAACACTGCTCCATTCTGGGAAAGAACAACTACAACTTTGAATCTGAAGCTTGAGAGCTGCCACAACATCCATGTTTCTAAGAAATCTGGGGCTACTGTGCTTCATCCAAGAGATTATTTGGTACACATGACTTTCCATTTTGCAGATGTTCAGTGCACATAAATAGCTCACTTTGCCCCGTTGGCTGGGGATGCTGTAACCCATGAAACCCATTCAGATCAGCAAGGGACACAACAGAAGGGAAAGACCCACAGAAGAAAAAAGGACTAGAATAAGAGAGCAAAATCAATAGAAAGCACTAGAAGATAAAGCACTGGATACTTCAAATATAAGCCATCAAAGGAAAGCTGGTCTAAGGAGAAGAGCCTATAGAGGTAACAGAGATGAGAGTCTTGTGCCTGTTAACAATTGTGACCTGAGAGCTGAACACGTTCTTATTCTTTGTAGTGCAACTGGATATGACCTAGCTTGCCTCTACAGTTGGTATTTTGCTTCTAATTTTGACGTATTTTTTTTTAAAAAAAGCAGTCTGTGCAAACAAAGCAGCAGAGCAGACCAAGTAATTGAACTGACATCCTTGAAAACCCTTAACAAGTGCTGCTTTTTAAAATACTTCCCTTACCTCCTTCAGGAAGGTGGGAGTGGGGAGAGATTACTATTTCAACGTGGTTAGGAACTGACACTGTCATCCTCACTGGAAGCTACACATCAGTGTAGGAGCCCACTGGGGACAGAAGGAGCTGTGCTGTGGCGGGGGCTTTGTACCACCTTGTCCACGTGCACACGGGGAGGCTGCAGAATCACTCCCCAGTAAATCTGCCTATAGGGAGCAGGCAGCATTTCAAAGGGGCCACGGGACCTTTGGAAGACATCCTTATGGAAACCGCCTCACTGGCACCTCATAGCAGTTTTGAAAATGCCAAGCCTCCGATACTCTCAATTTTCCGGAAGCTAAACACACACATCTCCCTTTGCCCTTCCAAATAAAGATCCCTCTGGCCTGCAAAGCCACAAGACACCCTAATCTACCTGTTGCTTGGCAAGGGAGCACCTGTAGCTGCTGCTGAGGAGTATGCCAGATCCTTTCAGCCCAGAGCCCATGCATGCCCCATGCAGCTGCTCCCACACAGTAGGAGGGAGAGGTCACTGCGCTATCTTGCCCACCTGCGAGGAGAAGACGCTCTGGGATATTGCCTGCATCCCTGCGGACATAGCAGGGATGCCAGGGAAGGGATATGCTAGAAGTCAGGGTAGTTTGCAGACATTATAAACAGTAAATACAAGAGAACATCATTTGCTTCTGACAGATGAGCAGAGCTTGGTGCACACTAATGGTTGCATAAATCCTGAACCCATGAGTAAGCTTGGGAAGATGGGCAGAGCCCTCAAGAGCACAGTGAGCAATTTGCAATGTTTTCTTTGAAGAGAGGACAGGTTCCCTAATCTTCTGAAACAAAAACCTAAATGCAAGGGAATTGTTCCTTCTGACAGGAGCTTGTGGAGCTAAATTGTAATCACACATCTAGACACCTGACAGCACCAGCCACACTAGTCTCATACACACAGAGCTGTTGTCTCGATACTAGAGCCCTATAAAGCTGAGTAACTTTGGCATTGCGTGCTAAGGTTGCTGGCAAAAGAGTCTTTACGTAGGTTCAATACTACGTTTATCAACATCGTAGGGAAGTCCTCTCTGGGTGGCTCAGCCATTTGACTTTTATCTACATCTTGAGCACACATTTCTGGCTGCAGTGGAAAAGTAGGGCCAACTTTGGCTCATAGTTGTGGTATCTGTAATGTCAGCCCTTTCTCAGAAGGGATAATGTGCAATGGTGATTTCATTCTCTGGATTAGAGTCTGTAAGGAAGAAGATTCAATGTTATCCAAAGACTCATTACCAAAAGCCTCTGAACGCCTGGCAGAGCACTCTCTGCAGGATCTCTGGTGCTAACCTAACCCATGGAGAGGCAGGGGGGTGTTTGGGTACATGTCAGGACCAGGAACCATGTAGAGAAGATAAACTCTTTTTATGCTGACAGGAGGGTGCTTCTGCCAGCAGCATCAGCTGGCTCAGGATCCCTCTCACTCTGATTTTCTCCAGGAGTTGGCAGCCTGAACTGGCTCTGCAGCCAGTTCTTTGTGGTTGCCTCACTCCCCAATGCTCACATGTGCTTTGGGTGTAGGAGGCCCTGGCCCTCACATGAGGACATTTCACAGCCAATTGCTCCATGAAAGACAAAGTTGTTGCGTGACAGACATCACACTATTGGGATGTCCCTGCCTGCTCGCTCTGACAGCACATGGAAATGGGAAAATCCAGCCTGAAAATCTGGAAAGCCTGAAGGTTGCTGCATTGTTACCACCAGGCACAGAGTAAATTTTTTATAGGCTCCTTTTGCAGCTCAGAAGATATCGAGCACTGCACGGGGGCTGCTGACTGTCTTGCCTTTGAGGCAGGAGAGGACAGGAGAGAATTCAGTGTCCCTCTTTCATGGGCCACCCACTCTCTGCATTTTAGTGCTAGGTACTGAGCCACGATGCTGCCAGATGACATTAGTTTTACAGAAACCTCCCTTTTACAGCAGGTTTAATGGCCTAAACATATCTATTTCCCCTGCTTCACTTTACACAGGCCTGCAACCCTTTGGTACTTCTTTCTCATCCCACCTTGGGTTCTGTAGCTATCCAAGCTGGGCTCCTAGAGCTCCTGCTCACCTCAGTTGCAGCTCAGCTCTGCACCTGCTGGGCTTGCTAGGAACCCAAGAAAAGAGGAACAAAATGGCTGCTGTTGCTATTAAGGGAGCTCAGGTCCCCCTCAGCGCTGCATCGCAAGGGTTTGAACGTAAGTGAACATGAGTGAAGGTCTTCATGGCGAAACACATCACGACCAAAGCATGTGTGGATGTGGGCACGCACGGGATGCCCCCCACTACACACACACACATTTTGCAAGGGCAAAAAGCAGAGTGCAGGGTTTGGCAAAGCTTGCCAAAATCTTATGTATGCAGCAGCAACAGAATGAGCTGTCTAAACGAGAGAACTGTGGCCACACACACGTGCACTCAAAGTGAGTTATTTTTAACATATGCCTCAGCTCCTTAGCATGGCAGCTCTGGGCCTGTCGGGCAGGGAGGCAAGCTGTGTTCAATTCTGGCTAAAAGCGCTGCATCAGAGAGGGATTTACAGCAACACAGGGAGAGCGAGAAATAGGTACAGCAAGTTCAGTCGGCAAAACAGGAGCGCTCCTCCTCCGGCTATCCAAGTCTGCTGCTGTTCCTTCCAGGTGACTAACAGGGACCACACTCCTCCTCCTCTCCTGCCCAGTCCCTGAAAGCCCCTATCTTCACCTCATTTAGTTTTTCCCTCCCTCGATCCCCAGTGGATATACACATTGCTGTATGTGTGCATGCATTAAACAGCTCCTAAACGCCACCGCTGGTTTAGCACAGCCAGCAGAGGGACCGACGGGTGCTCTCAGATAGGCCCTACACAAGCGGGCAGATGTTTTACTTTCAGCAGGGAGAAGGGAAAATCTGGTAGCACAGAGATGAGAGATATAGTGAGCTTCAGAGGACATGTCCCCCCTGATGGAAGTAGGATACCTCAGAAGAGAGGAAGGTGGACAAAGCTATTTCTCAACAGTCTTTTTAGGAACCCTCCTTAGAAGACTGCTTTTTAAAGGAGTCAAGGAATCTGTCTCCCTTTGGGACAGGCAGAACACACAGTAAGGTTAACAATTTTCCTGTTGGGTTAAATTTTTTATACTAAG